CCACACAGAGTTTGCAGCAGATATTTTTTCTTTGTGAGACAAATATCTGGTACTACCTAGTGAGCATCTTTATCACGGCACTCGTTTTGGTCATTAAAACTACAGGTAGCCCTCAACTTACAACAGTTCATTTAGTGACTGTTCGAAGTTAGGGCACTGAAAAAAGTGACTTACGACTATTTTTCCCACTTATAACCGTTGTGACCCCATGATCACATGATTTACAGTCGAATGCTTGATAACTGGTTCATACTTTTGACGGTTGCAGTGTCCTAGGGTCATGTGACCATCTTTTGCTACCTTCTGACAAGCAAAGTCAGATTCACTTAACAACATAAATTCTGGACTCAATTGTCATAAATTGAGGACTACTGTGCTTAGATTTATTTACATTTATTTTTATTTAATTTTGGAGTTTGGAAATGCTATCTGAAAATAAACAGTTTATGTGACAAATTTCAGTGATAAGGTAATGGGAGTTATGGCAGTACAGAAAGAATTTTGGCTATGCAGTCATAATAGCAACAGGACTAAATTTGAATCTTGCACTATTTTATTTATTTTATTTTATTATTTAATTATATTTATATACCACCCTTCTCCCGAAGGACTCAGGGCAGTGAACAGCCATGATCAAATACATAAATATAAAAATTAAAACAATTTAAAACCAGATTAAATACTTTGGCCCATAATTTAATGGGATTTTAATCCCATTAAAATCCAATTTAAAATTTAAAACCGTTAAAATTAGGCTAGCTTGGCTTGCTGGAATAACAAAGTCTTCAGGGCACAGCGGAAGGTGCGCAAGTCCGGGATCCTCCGTACCTCCGGGGGCAGCTCGTTCCAGAGGGCAGGAGCCCCCACTGAGAAGGCTCTCCCCCGGGGGGTCGCCAGTCGACATTGTCTGACCGACAGCACCCCGAGGAGCCCCGCCCTGTGGGAGCGTACTGGCCGGTGGGAGGCTGTCAGTAGCAGAAGGTGGTCCCGTAAGTACCCAGGTCCTAAGCCATAGAGCGCTTTAAAGATGTTAATCAACACCTTGAATCGCACCCAGAAGACCACTGGGAGCCAATGCAGGAGAGGGGTTACATGGGAGCACCCCGCCGCTCCCATAATCACCCGCGCGGCCGCATTTTGGACCAGCTGGAGCCTCCGGATTCTCTTCAAGGGAAGCCCCATGTAGAGACTACAGAAAACTTAACTACAGAAAAAACAATTGCTACAAACCTGCCTTCCATTGAGGATCTGTGTACTGCATGAGTCAAAAAGAGGGTTGTGTAAATATCTACAGACCCCTCACATCCTGGACATAAATTGTTTCAACTTCTACCCTCAAAATGACACTGTAGAGCACTGCACATCAGGACAATTAGACACAAGGACAGTTTTTGCCCTAATGCCATCACTCTGCTTAACAACTAGTTCCCACAACACTGTCAAATAATTTACTAAGACTGTATTACTATTATTCTTCTCTTCCTTACTAGTATCTATCTCTTCCCACTTATTACTATAACCATGTCGCTTGTATCTTTCAATTTATATTATTTTTATTTGTTTCCTAGTACGATTTGATAGCTTATTAGTAACCTTGACTATCACTAAGTGGTGTATCTTTTTATTCTTGATGAATGTATTTTATTTTCCTTATGTACACTGAGAGCATATACACCAAAGACAAATTTCTTGTGTGTCCAATCACACTTGGCCAATAAAGAATTCTGTTCTGTTCTGTTCTATTCTATTCTATTCTATTCTATTCTATTCTATTCTATTCTGTTCTGTTCTGTTCTATTCTATTCTATTCTATTCTATTCTATTCTATTCTATTCTATTCTATTCTATTCTATTCTTCTATTCTATTCTATTCACTATGTTGTTCATGTATTATTATGCATTTTTTTAAGCAATTATCCTTGGAGATGTATTTTTATCCTAATCTAATCCTATCCTAAAAGGTGTATTAGTTTTATGCTGCAATCTAGGAAGAGTGCAGAAAAGAGCAGCAAAGATGATTTAAAGGACTGGAGGCTAAACCATATGAAGAACGATTGCAGGAACTAGATATGTCTATACTCTATTGAAGTGAAGGACTAGGGGTGACATGATAGGAGTCCTCCAATAACTAAGGGGCTGCCACAAAGAAGAGATTACTCTATTCTCCAAAGAACCTGAAAGCAGGATAAGAAGCAATGAATGAAAATTTATCAAGGAGAAATCCAACCTAGAATTAAGGAGAATTTTCCTGATAGTTAGAATGATTAATCAGTGGAATGGCTTGCCTTTGGAAGTTGTGGGTGCTCCATCACTGTAGATTTTCAAGAAGAGATTGGACAACCATTTGTCTGAAATGGTGTAGGGTCTCCTGCTTTAGCAGGGGATTGCACTAGAAGGCTTCCAAGGTTCCATGCAACTCTGTTATTCTGTTATTATATAATCCACCTTATTCATGATAACGACTGCCCCTCCTTTGTCAACCTGTTTGATCAGTGCCCTGGCAATTGCCTTAAAAAAACACGCTAAGAGATTTTTTAAAATGATCTCTTATGTTTATCAAATGGCTTGTAGCAGCCAGAGGGAGGTTTTCAGTGCAGTGTGTCATTCCTTTGAAAGAATGCTATTCCAGTTATGTTCTAAATGGAAGAGACTTTGTCAGTAAGAAAGACTAATGCATTTATAGGTCCTCACGGCCCTCTCCCTTTTTTTTCCGTGAACTTTGTGAAGAACAGAAGTCGGTAATTTGCTCGGGCAACATGATTTTGTGACACTGTTCTGCAAAGCATGTCTATTTTCTCACTCAGTTGATGTTTAATTCAGTAAAGCAAGAGTGTAATGTTTTATTTTTTTCCATTTAGATTAAGTTTCTATAATGTTTGACATTGTTTACTTGAGCACATGTGATTCTGTTATTGAATAAGCTATCAAAGAATCAAAAAGGATGCAGTGAGCAATTCAGAAATGTCATTGGTATCCTCACCTGAGCCTTGCTGCCCATGTAGAAATTCTCAACTTGTACAGAAGGGTCCACCATGGACACCAAAAACTGCAATAGAAAGAAAAGAAAGCAACAAGATGGTTGTAGCCAGTACGGAAGATAATTATGGAATATTTCCTTACCTGTTTCAGTAGTGCAACACAGACTGTTTGGACAGTTTTACTTGATTTATTGTGCACTTTAAACATTATTTTTACACAATAGCCTTTACACACAGTCATATCAGATCATGCAGGGCACTCACAATCTCATTTCAGCTATCTTTCTTAAGATTTCTGTGGTTTTCGTTTGTATGCTGTCATGCTTATCTTTGCATCTCTGAAATCCAGTTTGCATAGCATCTTATTTAAAAAAAACAGCTGAGAGTTGTGGGAACCTGAGTCCGGATTCCATATGTGGGTTTTTCTTCCATAATATGGAATTGCAGGCTTTACTGCGTCTAAATAACCTCAAGAATAGACAGTGTAGCAGGATTGCTACTTTTAAATTTTGTCAGCTTTCAGGGTGGATAAAAATCAATGATTTTTTTAAAAAAATCAAAAAAATCAGATTTTTTTGATTTAAATTGGATTTTTTTTATTTTTATCGAATTTATTTTAATAAAAAACTTTTGGGGTAAAAATCTATTGTAAGATAGTTTTCTATTTAAGATACATAAATAATTTTGTTTTTTCAGCATGAAATGGAGCTTAGTTATGTAGCATGAGGCTATATATTCTGCAACACTGGGACTATCAGTGAGTCAACAATGGGTCAAAGGAGTAGCAGAGATGACAGTTGCTCTTTAAAAATTATGATTTAAATCGAGTTGATTTAAATCAAGCCTTTTTACTAGTGATTTAAATCATGATTTAAATTGTGATTTAAATCAACTCAATTTAAATCAAATCCACCCTCTCAGCTTTTATTCTCAGATTATTTGGAAAGCCAATTTAACATAATAAGCCAGAGCAGAAGGGAAAATGGGAATGCAGAATATTTCAAGACTCGGTAGTGGTCAGTTGATGGAGTCACAGGCTGATTTTATATGTATTTCAAGAGGATTGTTTAAGTATTATGTTTAATTGTTTAAGTATTATGTCTTCATAGTTTGACACATTTATGATTGAATGTATTTATCATTTGCATGTGGCTTATTTAATTCATGTGGCCAGTGTCTCTTACTGTTGTGGCAGAAATTCTGTGATGCTGTGGAATTATGTAGAATAGATAAAATGAAAAATAAAATACCACAGACGCTCAAACAAGTAAGTTATTCCCTGATCAGAAGATAAATATTATTATGGATTTTTCACTCTTTAAAATCTTTTAATGTATTGTTCAAAACTGTTTCTTAAATTATTTATTCAGCCAGGGATTTGTGGGAAAGATGTAAAAATAGACTTCTTTTTTTGTTTGTGTAACATAGTACAACATAAATAGCCAAATGCTGATATACGGTACTTTCATGAATAGACCTTGATCTAGTCTAGTAGTTTGTTCTTAAACATATATTTGGGGTTGCTTCATACAGATTCACTATATTTTAATATCTAAGAAATCTCTGTATATTGAGAAAGATTAAAGTTGTGAGTTTGTATTTTTGTCTGCCTCCAGTATTTTTCATATCTGTTAATTATAGTTTATTTATTGAAACCTTAGTCTTAGGGAGCACATATGTGTGTCTTCTGAATTTCAGTCTCTTTCTAGTATTTTCTCATGCAAAAATGGACAACTAGGGAAAATATCTCTGGAGTTTACAAATCTTTAATTAATGTCAAGGTAGAATGAATGATGCATATTAACTTTCATCAAGGACATTCATAATTCTTTAGTCATCTGGTTTTATCAATATTGTCATTATATTGGGTGATGTTTTCTTATTATATTCATCTTCAACTAGTCAATTACATTTCAGCTATATGTTCCTATAGCTTCCTGGAAAGTTACCACCTTTGTGAATGTAAACCTGAGGCTAAATGCAAAATTGTTACATTAGCATACTCTATTCTCTTTATTTCAGGAGAATTGCTAAGTCAGCCCAGGCCAGAGGGAGTAACTGAGATCATCTGTCCGAAGAATGGTAACGAGCGAGTGAATGTGGCTTTGGTTTATCCCCCTACTCCAACAGTGATCAGCCCTTGTTCCAAGTGACTGCTGGAAGTCGCCTGCCTTGGCCCCTATTATAAGGACACATCAAATGCCCCTTAAACCCTTGCTAAGCATTTTTGGAGATGTACCACCCAGAGATGGATCTAATTATTTATGGGGCCTGAATATCACAACTTGGGAAATAAAGGTATAGTGGGGTTGCTTCTTTTGCAAATGGGAAACACACTACAGTTAAATCAAGGTGGTGGTGGTGGGGGGGGGTTATCAGAATTTTATGAGTGATTTGATTTTCTTTTTTTTTTTTAATTTATACTTTATGGTACACATTGTAGTATTTCTATGCTTTCTGTACTTTGTATTCTATCAACAACTGAGCAACCATTGACTGCCTGGGGAGTAAATCCTTTGAGAGGAATTCAAAGTTACCTTTATAAGTTAGAAGTGTCAGAGGAAGCAGTTCCTATTTGTATATGTATCTAGAGAATACTAGTGTAAAAAATTGCAGAACTAAGCAGATGCTTCCCAATATCTTCCAAAGCATATTTAACTAGTTTAAGTTAGGAGATGAGTATCCAACAGGCCATATATAGTATCCCAATGTAACATTTATAGTTCCAACTACCTTCAGATACTGTACCTTAGCACCAAAATGATTGGTAGGAATTTTTCCCCCAAAAAATAAGAATGGAAATGGAAGCAGGACATTTCCAGAAAGTGAGAACTCTTCCTGTTTCTCTTCTCAACCTCCCATGGTCCCCCTAGAACAATTCAGGATGTTACTGCCAGTATACAGTCCTTTTGTCAATTTTTAAAGGATTTTCATTATCCTTACTTTGGGCTATTTTGCTCTTGTTCCCATCTTTAAATACCTGGAAAAAAAGAGGGAGGGAATTAACATTCAAACTTGTTCTTTCCAAGACATCATGTCTTTGAAAGATTTCCTGCAACCCCCAAAAAGGCCATGATCATTAATTTTGGCCTGTAATCACTCAAAAGTGGAGAAGTATAAGTCTCCACTTATACAGTTATTCCTTTAGTGAACCAATACTTTTAAAACCAAACATTAACTGATAATTTTTTCTCTACTAACTACCTGGAACAGGTCTGACTATCAATATGAACAAAGTTTCTGCTGATAATGAGTATTTTAGGTTGTCCTATTGCTATAATTATTCTAATAAAACAAATATTAAATGTGTAAATGGACTGTATTTACCTGAAAGGACAACTTTTTTAATACTTTGCATTTAAAATGGAAGAGCTCATTCCTTTCAATTGTGCTACTTCAGAACAAGATAATGGATGCAGATAAATTGGTTTTAGCATAAAATCCCCTTTGAATGGAGGAAGGATGATGTTTTAAATTAGGGTCATCTTTCTTTTAGAAAGAGGCTGTATTTTTTTAAAAAATCATAATAGCTATTCAGTACTGACTGATTTTATGATCATAGGAGTAATACTGAACCACAACTCCCTTCTGTTATTCTTTCGGATTAGCTTCACTAAGGATCACAGAAGGCAGATCAACCATGATAGCTTTGTACAGAGAATGGCTATCCTTATTATGCTCTGCGTGTGGATTTCCTGAAGATACCCAAGATTTGATTGATATTAGTTGCTCAGTTTAATAGATGTTGATCTGATTTAGTAAGAATAAATATGTCTGTTTTCTTTAGTTATCCTTAATTTTATTACAGAGATTTATTTAATTTGGGGGTTGGGCAACAATAAGGTAATTGAATATATATATATTTGGAACCATAAGCATTACGAACCTTGATACTTCAGTTCTGCCTTCTTCTAACATACAGATTAATGAGAGCAGGTGAGCTGAAGGCTGTGCATTGGGGTGGACACAAATCTGCAATCTACATGAATTGATCCTTTTCACCGATTGGGGTTGGACTGATATGTTCAGAAGAAACAGAAAGCATCATCATCCTGATCTACTGTTGAATCTGATTACCCTGCAGTATGAAGGCTCTCACAAGAACCAAGACCATTGTTCGCTGAGAACACTATTGACCTGTGTTTTGCACTTGTTTGGACTCACGAATGTAAGCTTTTTCTCAATGTATGTACCATTAGATGTACCTGAAGAAATATCTAATGAAAAGGAATTGTTGTTAACTTTGGTGGTTTCTGTGCAGGTAGGTGTTGAATTTATCACTGGCAGCTTCAGTTGGCCCCTCCAGCAGGCAAGAAGTCTAGCATCTATTCACTTCTTCCATGGTCTTTAGAAGCCAAGACAGACTGTCAGAATGGTGCTTGGGGAGTTCTATTATGTCTGTGGGATACCTTTTTAGTTCTCCTGTGTGTTTCACCCCAATTATACTGTCTATTAAATCATAGCGCTAGCTGTTACTTGTGCACAAGGATAGCAGTGCAGCAAGAGATATAGGAAGCTTAAATATGTACACATGTACACATGTTCCTCAGTTACTGTCTGAGATATCACAGAGATAATCTTGGGCAGAATTATATAAATTTAATGGAGCCAAATTTATTAAATACCAACAATCTTCCTTTTCACCCACAAGTACAGTCATCATGATGACATAAATGGTCTGAATGATCCTTATATAAATTCACTACATCACAGAATTTTCACTGAAGAAAAAAACTTCTTGGATAAATTGTTATCAGGAAGTTCAAGTCAGATTTTGGAGTTTACCCAGCCTTAGTTAAGTGCTACTAGCTGAGTTCCTTTGGCCTGAACCAAAACAGCTAGGTTTATTTTCATATAACTACAGCCAAATAACCTAATGTAGCCTTGCAAATAAATTTGCAAAAGGTAAACATCTGCAAAATTGTTCCTGTTGCTTTCACAGAAACAGCCTAAAAAGGAAGAAGTGGGAAAAGAGAGAATGCACTCTTTTTTTTTTTTCTTTTCAGTTTATAAAAAACATCTCACTGTTTGGCCATCAACGGGCTTGCTCCCTACATAGATAGTTTAGCAGAGTGGAGAAGTTTGAAGCCTGAATGTGCAGGCTAGCTATTTGTGAAGGCAAACATAACATGGTAGCCTCATATATAACTTCATATATAGTCTCCCAAACCTCTTCTTACTTGCCATGTTCTTTTAAGATGTGGTAACTTAGAAATGAAAAGTAGGTGAACTCCTCCAATCTCACTGATTTTCATCTGAACTTTCCCTCATTATCAACCATTGAAAAATTCTAGTGTACAGTCATGGGTCTTGTCCTATTCTGCTGGTTAGAGATTAGTACTTTGAAACAAAAGATGCACCTGATGGCACAATATTTTCTTCATCGTTCCTAACTTGTACTGAAGAAAATTAGTATGCCACAAGATACTCTTATGTATTCAGGTATCTTTAATTTGTACGTCTACTTTTCCCAGGTTTATTACATCTTGTCTTCAGCTCAGTCTGTTTCTGCTAGTGTTGCAATTCCTTTTGGATTGGTTGGAAATTAATTTGAAATCTGATTCCACCTACTTGCCATCCTCAATATGGGATGGCAGGAAAAGCAGAGTAAAGTCTAGTATGCCAAAATTATAACATTGCAGAATCTGGGATTAGCTTTATATCGATTATAAATTCTAAATGCTCTTTAAGTCCCTTTCAGGAAAGGCCCATTTGTTGTGAGCAGCTCTTTTTGGAAATGTTCTTCCTTTCCCTCCCTCCCTCCCTTCCCATTTTTTATTTTTTCAGTTTCTTGGATTTGGTCTGGCATTTCCTGCAAAAGGACTGGCAATTAAGGAGACATTCTTTCTTTTGCTCATTTGGCTCTTTTCCTTTGTTTAGAACATCCATCTGTCCATGGTCAATTTTTTTAGGAGCTTGCTTGAATTAGCCTTAATATTAGCTCAGCTCTTAAAAGGTTGCTGAGCTATGTGAAAATCCAGGAAATGCCGGTCACTGAGATAGCATCCAGCCTAATTCTCACATATTATCTGCTTCCTTTCATTTTTATTTAATTTTAGAATTCATTTTGCCAGCAGCAAGTAAAATTGTACAGCAGGTTAGACTGCTGCACTGAGTTTAAAATAAGAAATAATTAACATTATTCTCCCCTCCCGTTTAGCTGGAGTCACACTCAAGTTGGCAACTGGCACCATCACAGAAGCAAAATAAATTTAAAAAGACTTTTCCCTCTGCATACTTGTTCACAAATTCTTACTTAGGATTATAGTGATGCACTAATGTGGTGGTCTAGTTGGAAGCATCCTAAAAAAGCAGTTACAAAACTCAAACAGAAGAGGTCATCCAAAATAATATTCATTCCCTCATTCTAGATATCAAATGAATATCAGGTTGATTTCCCAATAAAAGATTTAAGGAATAGCCAAGAAAATTCTGACCTAGATGTATTTATGAAAAAGTTGACCTGTTTCAGTAATACAAAATCAATCATAGAAGTGAATTGATGTTAGAGAAGGCTTGTTAGTTGAAACAAGAGATTAAATTGCTAATTATTGGCCACACTGAAATCGGTGCCACTTAATTGGCAGGCCCAAACATTTAACTTGATTTGTTTTCCTCAAATGATTGGATATGTTTGTTTTTCCAACAATTAAATATCCACATAATGATTACACTGGGTTTGAGGCATACATGAAGAATACTATTATTCTTCATACTGCATATCCAATTTTAAAAAGTTCCAAGTCCATTCCAGTTATTAAATAAATAAGCACTAACAAATCATCAGAACAGTAGCTGCCTGTTTGACAATTTTGATTAGTAGGACAGAGTCCATGTTTATAAACAACAGGCATGAAAGTTCTCGGTATTTTTAACTGTAAGCAAAAAATCATTTCAAGGTGTATATGACATTCACTTACTTTAACCTAGATATACAGTTTGTATCTGGCAAACAAGGTAAATCTTATTTAAACAAGGAGAAAAAGCTATTGAGCTTTTCTTTCTACTGTCCCATCATCAAACTGATGTATTGCCCCTGCTCATTATCGCAGCTATTATATTGAAATAATATGCATATTGGGATAATAAGAATATTGGACACTGATTGTTAGTTTTTGAAAGGAGGTTTGAGTTCAGGGCAGAAGATCACATGCTGCAAGTATCTTAAGACTCTAAAACTGTCCCATTTATTTTCCCTTCCTTCCCCACCAACCCTGAAAAGTTTGGCTTGATTCTCATTCTGATGTTGTTTGAGGATTATCTGAAAGGAAATATAATTGTCATATTTATTTTTGTTGCTAGATTATCCAGTTTGTTTCAGTTTCCTCTTACCAATTGATAAGTGGACAGGCCACCTGGATTGATTGGTGGGGGGGGGGGGGATAGATTTCCTACTAACCTGTAGCCACTATCTAAACATTTGCAGAGTGCCAAGTTGGAAATGGCTCTTTTAACACTGAATAGAGTAAAAAGGGGGAGATTTTGTGCTGGCATCTGAGACTCTTTCCCTTTCTTCTATTATGATACCTGTCTACCACATCTGCTGGCTGATGGTTAAGATTAGCATGGCATCTCTCTAAAAAATCATCAGGCCAGAGGTAGATATAACATATTGTCTCTTAAAAGTTGAAAATACTACAGTATACTGAAGAACTACTAAGTCCAGAGTTTCCCAGCCTTCTGGGAGTTGAGGTCCACCCATCTTAAAGTTGCCATGGTCAAGAAACAATGACTTAGCCAAATACTGAAATGAGCAAAAAAGGAGAATTGTAGGAAATGGCAGAAGGCGAGTGAATATATAAAAGAGCTTTCATTTATTTAATCATTGTGTACCCCATCTTAAATCGTCAAGGGGAGTAACAAAACTAAATAATAGAGTTGGTCTTTGCCTTGGCATCACCCAAGAACCAGATCAAAATAGGGTAACTTGGAGTGGGTTTATTTAAGTTGCTTGAGTCAGGACAGATGTGTTCGACTTGCTTCCTATACCTCAATTCCTGCTACGGATTGTTTTATAAAATGGAGGATAGTTCACTGAATGTTGTATAGCACATCTTAAAAAAGTAAAAATCTTTCTCAAGCAAAGTGAAATTTAGAAGTATTATTCTCATCATAGCTTGGTGGGGATAAGTCATTCTGCATTCAGGAATGAACAGGTCCATCTTCAAACCAGAGACCTTGAGATTGGTCATCTCGACCACAGCTCTTTGGACAGGAGGAAAGAAAATGGGCTGATACATATCCTGTAGCTGCAATCAATCAATATTTTTCAGTGCTGTGCGTGGCAATGCTTCTTGTGAATAATTAACTGATTATGATTTTTTACAAACCTCTCACAGTCTTCCATCAATTTATTTGTCGTCCTATTCCTTTTCTCAAACCTTCAGCTTGCTTTCAGAATATGTTTCCAGTTCTCTTTTTGTGTAAAAGCAATGTTCAATTATACTAGGGTGTTTTTGTTTTTTGTTATTTACTACGGTATTAGTTGTAATTTTATAATTGCCTAAATGACTGGAAATAATGTATTTTTCTGGCATTGGAAAAGAGTATCCATAGTTGATTGACTTGTTTCACTTGCTCTGTCAAGAAGAGGTAGTTTTTCTTTGCATTTCCTTAAGGAGAAGGAGAGCAACTTTGTGAAATGTTTCCAGACCTACCTACTCTGGTGTACAGCAAAAACAGCTCCTTTTTTCCTCTTTTATCTTCTGCTATGAGAAAAACCCAGGTAGTCTTACAATTTTCATAAATGCTTCTGGAGAGCATTCTGACAAATAGGGCAACCAACTCTTGAGTTCTATCCCTGGATAAGTGCTTTCTCCAGGATGTGCAATCACTCAAGCAGGTCCACCTGTATGTTTACTTCATGATTTGGCTGTGACACAAATAGCAGATATTAGTTGCACAGCTTGAGATGATAGGATCATTAATTTTGGAAGTGAACAAAGGGACCCTTGGATCAAAGGTGACGTTTCTGGGAAGGAGAGCTGCTGTTTCTGGCTCTACCAGTGATACGTGCATTAGATTTTCACCCTTTGCAAGTGCTCTTCTCAACTTGCTTATTCTCATGCTTTCTGCTTTCCAGGACTTCAAGGCTGTTTCTCTGAGAAGCTATTTCTCAAAGCTCTACTCGTGGCATCTGCAATCTTGGACAGGAAAAGGTAGAAAATGGTATTTTGCCAGGTTGTAAACAGCCCTCAGCAGAGTGTTAACTAAAGGCTACTTGAAGTGCACACCAAACTAATATCCACATGTTTCTCAGGATCCCAAATGTCTAGGCAAGAGTGTGCTTGTTTCACAGTGCTAATTTGGATGCAGAGATCTGAGGGGAGCTGTCACCCTCGGAGAATTAATCTCCCCCCTTCCCCACTTCCAATATGGAAAATGGAGAACTTTTAAATGAAAGATTCATGGTATACTTTCAGAGGAAATGGGAAGCTATTTTGAGATGCAGATTTACTGCTGCTTGCTAAACCCCCTCCCCTTTACAAAACCGTTACCCCATTTTTCTTTCTCTCTTACTCTGACAAAACAATCAACCAATCCCTGGATGATTCCGAAGTCAGATAATCCTTTCCCTCATATCTTCTGCCATGATCATCTTTCATCGGGGTCACGAAAGTTTATTGTCAACAAAGATCAACCCTTCATTGTTGAGCACTATGACAAATCTCTACACCCCATTTTGCAGGCTTCAAAATGCCACTGGCAGATGCCATTATGTGTCTCTTACTTGGGGAACAATAATCAAAAAGGAAACGGTAACATAGAAAGTATCTTGATATAAAGTGAACTTATATTAAATAGGTCTCAGCTACCTTTGCATGGTCCGAATGGCTTGTCTAGTATAAATATATGAAAATGCCAGTTGGGCAAGACTTCATCAATGACTGGAATACAGACTAAACACATGAATTAAAATGTTCCCTGCACTTTATATAAAGGGGATTACTACTGTGATTATTGCCAGTCTTTAACAAGAAGATCCATTGTTGGGAGATCAGACACCATGAATGCTTGGGTATTACACATAAACATTCACAGGAGAAACACCTATAGATGCTTCAGGTTATCAGTCATCTACTTTCTATTTAAACCACACAGCTAGTTGGAAAAGGTTGTGAGGATACTATTAAATATTTATAGAATCCAAAAAGAATGGGGAAAGAGATCCTGGATTATGGGATATACTCTACTGCTCCCACATTGGAGCACTAAAATTGATTCTACAATGTCTCCAACAAGGAGACTGGTATCCATGGACTTTTAGAAGACATACAGGTAGTCTTTGGCTTGCAACCATTCATTTACTGACTATTCAAAGTTACAATGGCACTGAAAAAAAAAGTGACTTAGGACCACTTCCCACACTTACAACTGTTGCAGCATCCTGGTTGCACAATCAAAATTCAGGCACTTGGTAACTGGTATGTATTTATGATGGTTCCATTATCCTAGGGTCATCATTATCCTTGGTCGCCATTTGCGACCTTCCCAGCCACTTCTGACAAGCAATGTCAATGGGGGAAGCTAGATTCATTTTAATGAGCACGATTCACTTAATAACTTCAGTGATTCATTTAACAAGCCTAGCAAAAATTGTCAAGTGGAGCACAAGTCACTTAACTATGTAAGTCATAAGTCGAGGACTACTTGTATTTATTACATACTATTAATCCATCCCATTGAAGATTCCTCCAATTTGAGTGTTTGGTACAGTGCTTCTAGAATATTGCCCTTCCCTTCATGCTACTATCAGTCATGGCGGGGATGGGGGTGTCCAATTTGATGGCACGTTTTCAACATCATAGTACATTGTGAACTCCAGAGTGTTTTTTCTCTTACTTCCCAGACATGAATAAAACCCTGCCCTGCCTGCTAAAATGAGTAAGATAAATGCTAGCTAGGATTCATTCATTGTAGAAAGAAGGCCTTCAAATAAAATTCAATGTTCGATATTGCATTTTCTTCTTTAGAGTTATTGTAAGCAGTATTTTCCTGTCCCATTTTAGCCCTAATGGTATGGGGATTACATATGTTAGCATTTTGTTACCAGAGGGGTTGAAGACAGATAAGGATGGTTGGGTGGGCAAACAAATCACACTGGCAAATGGTGACAAAGAAAGCTTAAAAATCTATTGTTTCAGTCTACATACTTGAAATTTTCTGCTCTGATTTGTATGAAATGTATGCTTCACCTCATAATGTTTATCACTCCTTTAGATTTATGAGCTTTAATAACTAAAGTTGTAAAGGAACTTGCAGCTCCTTTATACCCCCAGGTTCATCCAATTATTGGTCCAATTTCCTGCACATTATGGATCTGTTAGGCATTTTTCTTGTTCTAGATAATGGGAGGCTAAAGTTCCAGATTTCCTGAAGAATGCTCCAGAATTGGAAATGAGCTGGTAAGCTTATCCCAACCCCCAACTAAGACCAAGTGAATCAGACTACTTTCTTAAGGACTTTGCCTAATCCTAAACATAAAGAAAGAAATATAATATTCTGCAAATAAAATAAATGAAAGCCAGGGGGGAGGGGGTCTTTTGGCCATTCACACCGTCTCAGTACAACCCACCTCACAGGGCTGTTGTGAGGAACACAGGAGACGGAGGGAGTATCAATGTATGTTTGCTGCCTTGAATTACTTAACAAAGTAATAAAGGTGGAATAAAAATCAAATAAATTGAAAGTAATTGAAATGCCACTCTAGCCAACTTTGGGAGATAAATTTTCCTGAAAATAGCTCAGTTTTGGTGCTCTCTGGATAGTCATTGATCTGGAAATCTGCAAATCTATCGTAACTTTAAAAACTGCATTTTTAAAAAAAAGTTTGTAAAAGCCATCCTATGTGTTCATCTGACCTCGTTTTGTATTTTCTTAAGATAACTATGGTTAGAGTTGTTTTTATAAACAGGGATACCCTAGCTTAGTTTGATAAGCCTCCCAACATTTGGGGGACATAAATTGTCTTGCTATTCAGATGGACTATGTTTATGACAGTGTTGATTGAGGGATGTTTATGACTTGCTACTTGTATGTAAAGATTTTTTTCCCTTCTTTAGTTTCCACAAAGGAAGATACTAAATTATACTAAGACTGTGGTATGCTTTGGAAAGGGACATAAAATTAAAATTGGAAAGCATTTTCTCTTCTGAAACAACACTTTCCCAGGAACATATAAATTAAGAAATTCCAAACTGAAATGGATATAAAGTAATATATTAACCTACAGGTAAAAATGAACTATTCATCACTTTGATTCCCAGGATTGTTCCTGAGCAAATCGCATGAAAAGCTGCTTAAGGATTATATTCACTGTGCACTATAAAAGTTGCCACTGCAGGCACTGATTTAACAATCAATATTGGGGGCTCTTGTTTCTGTTTTGGGAAGGAAGGATCACTGCTAAAGTTCAGTACTGTTCATATTTGCCTTTTTTAAAGTATTCTTTTTTATGGGCTTCTAGTTATCTATGCAGTCACAGAGGTAAGGTGAAATGGGGTTCAGCAAGGCCACTATACTAGACAAAAAAAACCAACCCTGCATGTTGTCTGTCTTCACTCTTTTAATATTTGTCCCATATACAGATAAAACACATGTACATGCTTCATTGTTCAATTTCATAGTACAACCCATCTAAACAAATCTGGGTATACCCTTATCTCCGTACAAGGTAAAAAAAAATTGAAAGAAACAATTGTAGATTTGAATAACAGCATAACAACACTGTGTATGGAGACAAAGCAGTGTTTGTCAACAATTAGTTTGTAGCACATTCATATGGTTAGTAGCAGTGAAATAAACCAGGAATTGAAAACAATGTTAAAACTGCTAGGAAAAAAGGACTGAGGAATAATAATGGTTAGCTTGAAAACCAGTTACCATCAAGACTTCAGGTCTCAAAAAGGGTAATTCAACTTTTTATTGGAAGAGATAATAATAACTGGGCTATTTGGGTTCAGTATATTAAAATTAAAAGTTCCATAAACTTTTTTTTCTTGCCTAGAAACGGGCTTGGTAATAAAGTTCTGTCATCTTCTAAATGGTGATGTCAGGCATGCCTCCGTTCAATCCCTAAGAAAGAAAAACCCTTGGATCCATAGATTTAGGAAAAAGGCACTTTTACTAGGAAAGAAGAAAAAGTCAACAGAAGTCAGGCAAGATCTCAAGCAAAAATGTGTGAAGAAGCAAATTGATATAAAACCATAGCTAGGCAACCAGATTTCAGTCATCGGCCAAAAGATGTTTTGGGAAAGTCTCTGATTCAGGTGCACTGTCGCTCCCTTCTGCATATCAAAGCTAGAAGAATTAGCCTTGAAGGTGATAAATCCAAGCTGGCATCTGCAAAGCTTCATGAAAAATTTCCACTGTGGCCTCCTGCAGGCTTCCCCCCCCCCCAAGTGCCCATCACCCCCTCCTTTCCATGGCAGCTGGCAGCAAGCAGGCAAGCAAGCAAAGATGCAGGTTGACAGATGGTTGGTGCATGTATTGTGGAACACTAAAGTGTTCTTCAAATAAGATTGGAGTTGGGTGGCTAATATAGTCAAATAAATAAAATTGGGGCCCACTTTAAACATTAATTTGTATAACACTGCTGCTGTTCAATCAGTAATTACTCCTTGCAATATTAACTTATATTTACATAGTTCAAGTAAATGGAATGTGCTTATGTATCACACCTGCCAGATCAGGCATATGTAAATGTTTTGTAAGAATAGTACATTTATTAGCCTGAGCTACAAGCTATAAGCTTATATTTATTAAAATATTTTAAGCACAAAAACTGAGAAGAAGCCTTCTGCTGTCCCACTGCTGAAAAGAAATGTTGCTTTCTGTAAGATTTGCTTTTATAACTAATATCCCATGCAAAAAATTCTATTTAAAAGCATAAGTCCAAATATTGAGATAAAATTCTTTACAAAACTCTGAATAACCATTCAGTTTTATGTTTAGGCTGAAGACGGATACCCCTCATTTGGAAAGAGATTGAAATAGTGTAGAGTGCATTAGCAAATGTATTACATCTGGTGTCATGCGTGAAGTTTAAAGCCAGTTTGTGTGCACAGGTGAAAGATTTAATATATTTGATAACTATCTGAAGCTTGCCTGCAGGACTAAATGTAGTTCTGTTTGTTGGATCTTCTGAACAATTGGTAGTAGAGCCTTGGTAGTACAGTGGTTTAATGCACCCTGTAATTAACACAGCTGCCTGCAATTTCTGCAGGTTCGAATCTTACCAGGCTCAAGGTTGACTCAGCCTTCCATCCTTTCTAAGGTAGGTTAAATGAGGACCCAGTTTGTGGGGGCAATAAGCTGACTTTGTATAAATATACAAAATATACAATATATTGCTTAACGCATTGTAAGCCGCCCTGAGTCTCCGGAGAAGGGCGGCATATAAATTAAAAAAAAAAATTGGTCTAGGGTAAATTAGGTGGAATATTTCCACAGATCATATTTCTGGAAACTGAGGAATTAGAAACATAACTTAAATTAGCTTGTGCTTTTGAAATGTGTTGTTTACCTTACACATGATCCTGTAAAATTTGGTCAGTCAACATTAAAGTGCCAAAACATCCTGGTCAATAGTGGCTTTGGGTTTTAACATATAAGATTTTCTGGTAGATTCTAATCTCATTTTTGATACAATTCTGAGGAGGAACCCTGTTTATTTAAGCTACCTTCTGGCTGGCCGGGCTTCATCCAGGGCTCAACAATCAAGGTTTCTTTAGAAACTCAAACCTGAGCTAACAACCAACAGTGAAGGACACAATTCAGTTGATCTGTTCTCACTGCAGATACAAGATGTCCTTAGACCTTGGGAGTAGGCAATAAACAAGCAAGTCAATAAATAAATAATGAAAATCAGTTACTGGAAAAAAAATCAGCCAATCAATCCAGCTCTCTATTTATAGCAGTTTTAAATCTTTCATCTTTTTCTTCCCCTGCTACAGCGTAATGGACTTCTTGAGCTATTTCTCGCCCTTGGATATGAAGGGCACTGCATTATTTTTTTTATTTTATTTTATTTTTCAATTTATATACTGCCCTTCTCCCTGAGGACTCAGGGCGGTGCACAGCCAGAATTAAAAACATGAAATACAAATATTAAAAACAATTAATATATATATAAATTTGGCCCAAAAATTTAAAAAAACCACAAACCAATTAAACATTTAAAAAATTTAAAAATTTCTTCCTAAACCAGCCCGGCTTGCTGGAATAAGTGGATTTTAAGGGCACGGCGGAAGGCACTGAGGTCTTGGATTCTCCTTATCTCTGGGGGCAACTGATTCCAGAGGATAGGTGCCCCCACAGAGAAGGCTCTCCCCCTGGGGGTCACCAGCCTACATTGTTTGGCTGATGGCACCCTGAGAAGGCCCTCTCTGTGGGAGCGCACGGATTGCTAGGAGGTCGTCGGTAGCAGCAGGCGGTCTCGAAGATAGCTAGGCCCTATGCCATGGAGTGTTTTAAAGGTGATAACCAACATCTTGAAGCGCACCCGGAAGACCACCGGGAGCCAGTGCAGCTCGCGCAGGAGCGGTGTTACATGGGAGTGCCATGCTGCTCCCATCACTATCTGCACTGCTGCGTTCTGGACCAGCTGGAGCCTCCGGGTGCCCCTCAAGGGGAGCCCCATGTAGAGAGCATTGCAGTAGTCAAGGCGAGAGGTGACGAGGGCGTGAGTGACTGTGCACAGGGAATCCCGATCAAGAAAGGGCCGCAACTGGCGAATCAGGCGAACCTGATAAAAGGTCCCCCTGGTTACAGCCATCAGATGTTCCTCCAAGGACAGCTGCATATCCAGGAGGACTCCCAGATTGCGAGCCCTTTCTGTGGGGGCCAAGGACTCACCCCCAATAGTCAGTGATGGAGTCAACTGACTATATCGGGATGCCGGGAGCCACAGCCACTCAGTCTTGGAAGAGTTGAGTTTGAGCCTGTTCCTCCCCTTATATT